GGTGACAGAGTACACGTCTCAAAAAAAAAGAAAAGAGCTGTATTGTTGATATGGAGAAAGTTTTAGTGGTCGAGATAGAAGATTAAGTCAGCCATAACATTACCTTGAGCCACGGCGCATTCAGAGAAAGTCCCTCTTCAATTCTGTAAATTGAGGTAAGGAAGCTACAGAAGAAAAGTTGGAAGCTAGCAGAGCTTGGTTCATGAGGTTAAAGGAAAAAAGCCATCTCCGCAGCAAAAAAGTGCAAAATGAAGCAGTAAGTGCTGGTGGAGAAGCTGCAGCAAGTTACCTAGAATATCTAGCTAAGATCAGTGATGAAGGTGGCTACACTGAACACCATATTTTAAATGAAGAAACCACCTTCTATTGGAAGATGCCATCTAGGACTTACATAGCCAGAGAGATGAAACCAATGCCTGGCTTTAAAGCTTCAAAGGACAGGCTGACTCTCGTTAGGGGCTTAAAGCAGCTGGTGATTTCAAGTTGAAGCCAATGCTCATTTCCCATTGTGAAAATCCCAGGGTCCTCAGAAAGGATGCTAATTCTACTCTGCCTATGCTCTACAAATGGAATAACAAAGCCTGGATGGCAGCACATCTGTTTACAGCAAGGTTTACTGAATACTGTAAACCCACTGTTAAGATCTATTGCTCAGAAAAAGACTCCTAGCAAAATATTACTGTTCACTGGCAAAGTACCTGTTGCCCAAGAGCTCTGAGAGAGACGTACAAGGAGATGAATGAGGTTTTCATGCTTGTTAACACCACATCCATTCTGCAGCCCATGGATTAGGGAGTCATTTTAACCTTTAAGTCTTAAAGAAATATACTTCATAAGGGTATACTTCCTCTAACTGATCTGGGCAAAGTACATCAAAAACATTCTGGAAAGGATTCACCATTCTAGATGTTGTTAACATTTGTGATTCATGAAAGAAGGTCAAAATAGGATTATAAACAGGAGTTTGGAAGCATTTGCTTCCATTAATAACTCTGAGGGGTTCAGAACTTCAGTAGAGAAAGTAATGCAGATATGGTAGAAACAGCAAGAGAACTAGAATCAGAAGTAGAACCTGAGGATGTGACTGAATTGCTGCAATCTCATGATAAAACTTGAATGACTAAGGAGTTCCTTTTTAGGAATGAACAAAGAAAGTGGTTTCCTGAAATTGTATCTACCCTGGTGAAGATGCTGTGAACACTGCTGAAATGAGAGCAAAGGATTTAGAATACTGCATACACTTATTGATAAAGCAATGGCTATGTTTGGGAAGATTACCTCCAATTTTGAAAGAAGTTCTATGTGGATAAAATGCTTTCAAATAGCATCACATACTCCTGAGAAATCTTTAATGAAAAGTAGAGTCAACTGATGTGGCAAATATAATTGTCTTATTTTTAAAAATTGGCAGACGTCTCAGCCTTCAGCAACCAGCACCCTGACTTGTCAGCAGCCATCACCACTGAGGTAAGATCATCCACGAGCAAAAAGATTATGACTTGCTGAAAGCTCAGATGATTCAGTCTTTAGCTAGGTCATGTACATTAACTAGGCACAGTTGCCCACGCCTGTAATCCCAGCACTTTGGGAGGCCAGGGTGGGAGGATCGCTTGAGCCCAGGAGTTAAAGACCAACTTGTGCAACATAGGGAGACTCCATCTCTACAAAAACAAACGTGAAAATTAGCCAGAAGTAGTGGCATGCACCTATAGTCCCAGCTACTCGGGAGGCTGAGGCGGGAGGATTACTTGAAGTCCAGGTTGCAGTGAGCTATGATTGCACCACTGCACTCCAGCATGGGTGGCAGAACAAGACCTTGTCTCAAAAAAAATAAAGAAATGCACACTGCTTTTTTAGACATGTTACTGCACACTTAATAGACTACATACAGTGTAAACGTAACTTTTATATGCACTAGGAAACCAAACAACTGGTGCGACTCACTTAATTGCAGTGGTCTAGAAACAAACCAAGGTATGCCTATACTACAGGAACTAAACTTTTCTCAGATTTTTTTTCACTAGCAAAAAAGAAAAATTCACTTTAAATATGATAAAAAAACAGAACTTTTAATGTTACTGAAATTTTTTTTTTTTTTTTGAGACGGAGTTTCGCTCGTTACCCACGCTGGAGTGCAATGGAGCAATCTCAGCTCACCGCAACCTCCACCTTCAGGCAATTCTCCTGCCTCAGCCTCCTCAGTAGCTGGGATTACGGGCACGCGCCACCATGCCCAGCTAATTTTTGTATTTTTAGTAGAGACGGGGTTTCACCATGCTGACCAGGATGGTCTCGATCTCTTGACCTCCTGATCTACCCGCCTCGGCCTCCCAAAGTGCTGGGATTTACAGGCGTGAGCCACCGCGCCCGGCCTGTTACTGAAATTTAAAACAAGACTTGATCTAAGTCTGAATCTACATCAGTTCAGAATGCCAACCTGAAAATATTAAATTTCAAAACCAAAATTTTATATTGTCTTAACGCTTTGAAATGCATCTTTTGTAACTCGTAAGATAATTTTAATTATTTTCTAAAAATAAATACAGGAGGAAAAAGGTTTCCATAACATTTAGCGATACGAACTAAGATCCTACCTAACTCAAATGAACATTCAAGTAAGGACAGTTTTCAAAATTATTTTTTACATTATAGAATACAATATCAATATTGTTTCTGCAGGACTCTGTCATTTTTTTTTTAAGGAGGCTAGCTTTAACGTCAGGATTTTCTTAGAAGATTTCTCCAACTTCCTAGAAAGAACAGTTATCTGACTAGCTAGAGAACATGGTTCTGAGGACTGAGGGATTAAGTCACGTAATTTCTAACAGGAGGCATGGTGCTTTTCAGAAAACATTTTAGTATAAAACGTTTTAATGATCCTCATTGCCTCCTCACAATGTCACTGCTGGATTCACGGAACTTCATTCCTAATCTAAGGTTATTCACTTTCAGTGGGCTTCCAGCCTCAAATAAGGCTTAAGTCCCATCTCCTCTCAGAATTTGCCCCAGTATTCTTTGCTCCGAATAGTAAAAATGGAGTTTTGATTTCCTTGGCTTTATGCTCCGAACTGTAAAAACGGAGTTTTGATTTCCATGTCTTTATTTACCCAATGACTTGCTTCTTGATGCATCACGACTGAATGACGTACAGTATAGGTCCTCCTAACCAGCGTCTACACTGAAGTCTTAGGTGACTGTGGGCTCCCTCAAAAGGAAACGTGTTTTAATTAATCTTTGCCTGTGTTCATCATTAAACTAGATTATTCGATAGCGACATGAAATTCTTGAGAGGAAAACGTTGTAATATTAATCTTGATGTTTCTACAGAGTTTAATAAACAAGAAGGTTCAAAGTGATGGTAGATGGTAGGGTCAGCCTGTTTTTCCCTCCAAGGGTAACCACAAATATAAAACACAACGATATTGGGACACCAACATCCTTAAAAGGTTCCTTGTTTGAATATCATAGGGCTTTTCCAATTAACTGAATAGTGCAACTGGATGAAAATATTGTACCCCAACAAAAATACGTTTAATGCTAACTTATTTTTATGTGTCTTAACTACTTCATCCGTGTACTCGAATACCACTGTTCAGAAGTTTTCAAATATGGGACAATCAGAGCGCTCAACTCTCGAAGACATCATTTTCATGACCCATTTCTCAAATAAAATATTAAGGTTGAGGCTCTGGTATTTCATTTTAAATAGTACTAGTCTGTTTTTCCAGCCATGAAAACGTTTACATTCTAAGTAAAAATCCCAGAGATGGTTAAGTCTTAAATACAAATCCCCAAACTCTTGCACTGCCTTCAGCTTCGGCTTGAATGTATTTCAACCAGTTCCCATAATTACGACAATATTGCTATTATCTTAGTCTCACTGCCAAAAACCCAGCTGCAGACTAACTATGCAAGAATGAGACACTGTTGAAATGACTCGGAAAAAAAAAAAAGAAACTTTACCCTCACTGAATTTAACTACAGAATCCTGCAATTAAATGAAACCAATTACACACAAACACCTTCTTCTAAGAAAGAACATGGTGCCGCTACACAAGGAACCCAGAAAGAAATTCGGCCAACAGTTGCGCCTAAGCCACCGCGGCAGAGTCGGGGGCTGGGGGCGGAGAAGAGGGGGAAACTTGGGAAGCACAATGACTCCAGTGAGGGCTCCCGCGAAGAAACCCACCGGGCTCCATCAAACTTGAGGGCTTGCGTTCGTGGACGCGGCGGGCTTGCTGCTCGGCCACCGGCAGGCCGTTCGGAGCCCACCCTTGGCTACCCGCGGGGCCGCGCCCGGGGAGGGAGGTCAGGCAGTCGCGAGCCTCCCTTTCGCGTCCAGCCGGCTTCGGCCGGCGTCCCCGCGATTTTCCTCTTCCTCCTCCTGCCTCTCCCCTTTTGTTTTTCAGGCATTCGGTTCGCTCCGGCGGAGGCCGGCCCGTCCTTCCCGCGCCCTGGCCTCTCCGGTCCCCCCGCGCCTCTGTCCGCCCCGCGCGCCCCCCGAGCCCCGGCCTCCTCGTCTTCCTCAGGCCCCTCGGCCCTTCCGCGCGCCCGGCCTTTTCAAAGCCTCCCCCCACCATCCTCCTCACGTCCCCGGACTCCCCGCGTCCCCCAGGCTTTCCGTCTTCCTCGAACCCCTCGGCCTCCCCGCGCGCCCCCGGAACCCCAGACCTCCTCCAGCCCCCGGCCTCCCCACGTCCCTCAGCCTCCCTGTCTCCCCCAAGCCTCCCGACCACCCAGCGCGCCCCCTGACCTCCTCAAGCCCCTCAGCCTCTCGGCCTCCGCGGACGCCCCCAACCTCCTCACGGCCCCCGGCCTCCCCGCCTCCAGGAACCACGGCCGGCGGGCCGGGGGCGCGGGAGGGGCCGGTCTGCGCCGCATCCGCCCTGGGACTGACTGGGCGGCCCTGCTCTGCCCCTCCGCCCTCCGGGCCGCGGCCCTGCCCACGACCGCGGCACAGAAGGAACCCGCCCAGCCCCCGGCCCGCGCCCCGCACTCACTCGGACCGCGCCTCCGGCGCCGAGAGGCGAAGGCAGACACTACCGGGCGGCGCCGGGCGACGGCAGCCGCGCTCCCTCCCACGCCTCACGCCGCGGGCGCACAGCGGTCCCGGCCCGGCGGCGGCGGCGGCGGCGGCGGCGGGCTCGCGCCCTCGGGACCGGGCTGAGTCGGCGCGGGCCCGTGCGCGTGCGCGGCAGCCAGCTGAAGCGCGCGCCCTCCCTCGGCAGCGCCGCCGGGCCCCGTCTCAGTCCGGAGTTTCCGCCTCTCGGGGACACTGGGCATGCGCGCCGCCGCTCGCGCATGCCCAGCGCGCCGCTAGGCGCCGCTCCTGTAATTTACCCTATGGAGGCCAGGTCGGGGTTTGGGGGTGGCCGGAGGCTCCGCGCGGGCGTGGCGTCCGGACTGGGAAAGCCCTGGCCTGAGGGGTGGCCGGGGTCGTCCGGCGGAGCGGACTTCCTGGGGTCCCACCTGCAGCGCTCTCCGCCAGCTGGATTAGGCAGACTTCGGGAAAGCCCTCCCCATCCCCTTCCTGTCCCCCAAAATCCCGAAGGGGGCCCCTCTGGAGGACCTCCCTCTAGAACGGCCCTGCGGCCTCGCCCCCCAGAGTTGGAAGCCCGCCGTCGGGCACCCGCTTCGGGCCCCGGGCCTTGCTGTGCTCTCTCCAGGCGTCACACCGACCCTAACAAGCGGTTCCTGTGCCCTTTTTGCAGATAAGGAAACTGAGGCTCAGAGATTCTTTTCATGGCATTATGGCTAAGTTGGACTGGGCCATGATTTAATTTTGGAAGATGAAAAATCATGAAAGGGACTTAGAAGTCCACTGGAGGTAAACAGGTTACCTAAGTGAACGCCGGGAAGGAACGAGCCCGGCAGCCCCTCCCGAGGCCTACAGACCTGAGGCAGGCTGCACTAGGCAGAGGAGGATGGCTCGTCCCGACCCCGAACCGGCCTGCCGCGATGTGAGCCAGTTTCAGCGAGGAGCTGGTTGGTTAAGACTGGAACATGCCATGGGTGGGGTGGAGGAAATGGCAAAGGCCAGGTTGGAGGGACTGAAACCTGCAGACGGCTGTGCGGGGCCCTGCTTAGGTGCCTGGAGTTTCATTAGGCAACAGAGAGCCTTTGGAGGGCTTTAAGCAGGAAGTGATAACTGATTTGTGTTATTTAAAAAAAAAAAAAAAGTCACTCAGGCAACCTTGCGGTCGGAAACGAAACCAGAAGAAGCCTCAAGGCTGCAACTTTCATTTTTATGATGTTTTGATGCTAACCACAAGCCAGCAGGCAGGACAGACAGGCACGAAAGGTGAACACCCTGAAGCTTAGAGAGGTGATACACGACATTGCGTTAGGAGCTATATAAATCAAGTAAAATAAGATGCTTATGCTTTTGTTTATCAAGATTTCACCATATTTAAATGTTTTTGGTTTTATTGTTCTTTAATGAGATGTATTAAGGTTGGTGTTTTCTGGGTTTTGTTATTTTTTACTACATATGAAATTGTAAGGAATTTCCTCTCCATGTCAGCCTCAGGCCTCCTTGTACGTGCTATTTGCTCTGCCTGAAACTTCTTGCTCCTCACTTAGTTCAAGACCCTGCTTCTACATCACCTCATTGATAGCGATAGACCACTCTGTATAATAGGAACCACCCACTGCCCTGCCATCCACACACACACTCCCCACTTAGTCCACTCTGTTGTTCTCCAAAGCACCTATTGTTCCCCACAGCCCAGCACTGTGTTCCTGTTTGTTTCTTAATTGTCTGCTCCCTCCACTAGAGTCTTAGACTCATTAGAGCCTAGGCTTTGTTTTGTTCACTAATAGGTCCGGGCGCACAATAAGTATTTGTCGAGTGAATGAACGAAGCTTTGGGTGATGTGAAGTGTGAGCGTATTATTAAAACTGTAAGAAGAGCATGGGAGACAGAGAGGGCAGTGGAAGCATAAAAGGGGCTGCATTAAGGATAACCCTGGGGGAAGGGGCTGCACTTAGCATGGTGGACGGAAAACAGCCACCAATTCTTTGACACTTTTCCCAAAAAGAGGTGAAATTTATTCACCCCTTGAGTCTGGTTGGACCCTGTTAACTTTCTTTGAGCAATAGAATGTATGACAAGTGACAGTGTACAAATCCCAAGCCTAGGCTTCCAGAGGCCATGCTGCTTTGAGTTTCTGCCTCTTAAGCCCAAGCTAGCCTCACCAGGAGACCGTGTGGAAACGAACTGAAGCGCCCTGGCCAACAAGCTGCTACCTCGAGACATGTGAGTGAGCTGCACTAGACCACCCAGCCCCTGTGAAGCATTCAGCCAACTGCAGCTACATAAGACCTAGTGAGACAGATGGAAGAACTGCCCAGCTGAACCCAGCCCAAACTGCCAAACCACAGAATTGTGAGCCAATGAAATACGTGTAGTTTTAAGCCTTTAGGTTTTAGAGTGGTGTGTTACACGATCTTGTTTCATGGACTCCGCCACGATACATTTGAAATTGAAGTTCTGGGCTGGGAATGGTGGCTCACGTCTGTAATCCCTGGGAGGCCAAGGTGGGTGGATCACCTGAGGTTGGGAGTTCAAGACCAGCTCGACCAACATGGAGAAACCCCATCTCTACTAAAAATACAAAATTAGCCTGGCGTGGTGGCATGCGCCTATAATCCCAGCTACTTGGGAGGCTGAGGCAGGAGACTTGCTTGAACCCAGGAGGCGGTGGTTGTGGTGAGCCAATATCACTCCATTGCACTCCAGCCTGGGCAACAAGAGCAAAACTCCGACTCAAAAAAAAAAAAAAGGAAAAGAAATTGACGTTCTTGAAGGTCAGCTTTGATGATTATTCTGCTTAATAAAAGAAGAAAGTCAGAAAAGGTCAGGAAGAAGTGATGCAAAGGAGAAGGGCAAACAGAGATACAAACCGGAGAAAAGGGACAAACAGGAAGCAGTGGCTTGTCTTACTTCCTGGGCATCCTTCGTGGTGCCTAAGAACTCAGACTTAGGAGTAAGATGAACATTGGCACAGACCCAGGTTCAAGTTCAACCTTTCACCAGTAAATCTGGGAAGGTTGTATAATGTCTCTGAGCCTCATTTTTCATCTGTGAAATGGAGACTAAAGGTTGCACATTAAAATTAAGTTGCAGAGGAAACAAACTATTCTCATGAAACAGCAGGGTGCTTAGTATATATACGTGTTATTGATTATAGCATTGCTCTATGGATTACTAATAATTTGCATGATGATGGAGCAGGTATTCAAAGGACCACCAGAGCAGTATCAAGGAAGGCTGACTTCCCTCCGTCTCTGTGGGTCAGAACCTGTATACACTGTCTCTACACCTCATAGCGGTTCTGTGATGTAGACGCTGTTATCAGCACCTCCATTTTATAAATTTGAAAACTACTGCTCAGAAAAAAAAAAGCAATGAGTCAGATAGCAGGGCTGGAATTCAAGGCTGCATCTGTCCAACTGCAAAGCCTGTGCTCCTTCCTCTCCCCACTACAGTCTCTGATGCATTCATACCCCATTAAAAAAAAACACACAAACACACACAATTTGGCTTCTCCCCTTCCTGCATTGCGCCAGATGGGCTGAGCATTGACCTTGTGAGGGAAGCTTTCAGGAAGGGCTTCCTGTGTGTTGGCAGAGCAGCTGCACCGAGCCTGGGAGCAGTTCCCCCTTGAAAAGCCCCCCCACCTCCCTGGTCAGCTAAGGGTTCCCTCCCAGGAGGGGCTCACTCACAGTGGAGAAGCAGAAACACACATGAAGGCCAGTGGGTGGATGCACAGTCATGGGGGCGTGGAAGGTGATATCACTGAAGAGACACTGAAGCCCAGGTTCCTGCCCACATCACAGCTGACCAGCCTGCAGATCTGTCTGGAGAAGCTGGAATGAGAGAGTGAGACCCAGGAAACAGGTGCCTGGGGTACTTTTCAGTTCAGTAAGATGTGCCCCTGGGAGCTGTGGGCCTCTCACATCACCAGGGCATGCTGGCCAAGAATCAGAGAGTGGTGGAATAGAGAAAGGGTCTGACAGACCTGGCCTCCAATCCCAGCTGCCCTACGTGACAACCCCATGGCCCCAGGCAGGCTGCTCAACCTCCTGGAGTCTCAGCTTCCTCCTCTGTAAAATGGGGAGAGTAGAAGAGCAGAAGGCAGGGACAGGGGTGTCCCTAGGAAAGACATCCAGAAGGAAAGCAGGGATAAAGGAGGGGGCTGAAGACAGATTCCCACCTCCAAATTCTATCCTGTATAGTCAAATGGGCCCTGCCCTCTGCCAAGGCCACAATTACCACTCACAGCTTGCCCAGGACAGAGCAAAACGAATCTGTGGTCACGATTCAGGAACATTCTGGGCAATTAAGCTATGTAGGTTTGTTGTTGTTTTTTGAGACTGAGTCTCATTCTATTACCCAGACTGGAGTGCAGTGGTGCAATCTCAACTCACTGCAATCTCCACCTCCTCGAGTTCAAGCGATTCTCCTGCCTCAGCCTCCCGAGTAGCTGGGGTTACAGGTGCCCGCCACCACACCTGGCTGATTTTTGTGTTTTTAGTAGAGATGGGGTTGGCCAGGCTGGTCTTGAACTCCTGACATCAAATGATCCTCCCACCTTGGCCTCCAAAGTGCTGGGATTACAGGTGTGAGCCACTGCGCCCGGCCTCTATGCAGGTTGTACTACAAGTTGAAATTTCAATTACCACACACACATAATGTAGGAATGTACGGATGGGGAAAGAGAGGCCCCGTAGTGGGTGCCCCTTTTCTGTGGGGATGTGGGAACAACTCTTCCTAGGTTGGGGAGCATCCCAGCCCCTGCTGCTCACATAGATCTCCCCCAGTTTACCCCACCAGTGTTCTAGGGCCCTGTGGCACAAGGAGTACTAACAGGGCCTCTTCTAGGTCTCAGGCATACTCAGTGCCCCCAGGTTTCCCCGACTGGAAGTGAGCAAGCCCTGTCTAGAGGCCAAGCTGCCTAGAGCAGGACCTCACCGTAGGGGTCTGTCCCAGGGATACCACTTCCTGGCCTGGGCCCCAAGTTCACTCCCACCCCTACACCTACCACCCCTCCCCCAAAATGCTGTGTAAGGAAAATCCTCCCCTCTACAAGGCTCAGCAGGTCCAGGCCAGGAACAGCCCCCACCCTCCTGACCTGACATACCCCTTTGGTCTGGACCTAGTAGCAAGGCT